AAACGATCAATGTTCGATCGGTAAGGGAAACAATCATTTACTGGACAACAACACTTTCATCGACGGTCCCCCGTTATCGACATCGACACCAAAATCCAACAAACATCCCCCGGGAGGTTCGTCGGAATCACCGAAAACAGTTAAAACCACGGGGAAAAAAATTTCGTCTGCTAAAACAACATATGCGACCGTTAGAAAATTAAAAGGACTCTCGGAAAAAAAATTAAAAGGATCGAAAAATCTCGAAAATTCATTTAATCGGTAATTATTATTATTATTATTATTATTATTTTGACGTTATCATCATTTTTAGTAGTTAGTGATAAGGGAATTTGGTTGTTGGTTGTTGTAGTGGAACTAAATACCCTTGAGCATTTTAAAAAAAAAAAAAAATTTGGCAGTTTTTTACTTAATAATTATTTATTTATTTAATATAATTTAATTAATAAACGTTTTTTTTTGGGGGGTGGGGGTGGGGAGCGGTGATTTCGGGTACACGCCCGATCGAACGTTTATCTCTTTCAATTAATCGTTTACCTTTTTTGTTGTTTATACAGTTGTTGTTCGAATAACGAAAGATTTTCTGCTACCACGACAAATGTTAAAATAGATTACGAAACATCCGTCAGACATTGGCTTTCGGAATTGGAAACAATGTACGAAGCCGAAATAATGACGACGCTGCAGAGTAAATCATTAGCTGCTGATCTCACGCGGCAGGTTACCAACATGGCGGATTCAACTTCGTATACTATAAAAAAATTACATCAGAAAACAAAAATTATTTCCTTGGAATTTTCTAGATTGTACAAGTAAGTTTTGATTTTCGATCAATCGCTTTGATTTTCCCGCCATAATCGACGACGTTAAAAATTTTAATTTAATTTTACAGGCAAAATAAAAATAAAAATGTAAAAAATTTCGACTCCCTCGTACAAAGCCTCGTCGGACACATAACCGAATTTATTAAAGAATACGTACAAAATAATAATAATAATAATAATAATATTGTAAATAATTGCCAAAGAACGGAAAAAATAAACCAAAGAAAATCAATTGGAAAACAAATTGAATGTCGTGACGAAATGATAACGGATTTCCGTACTCCCGAACCGGAAACGATGGATATGAAATTAGAAAATGATGAAAAGACAAACGGGGAAGCAGAAGAAGAAGAAGAACAACAACAAGTTTTAGAATCTTGCAATCGTCTCAAACAGTTGATTTCTACTTCGAAAAATTATGATTTTAATCAAATCGAAAAAGAAATTACACAATTGGGACAAAAATTTAGAGGAGTCGTTGACGTTTTATTACAAAATAACATTCAGGTGAATAGAAATTCGTGGAAAAAAAAAAAATTTTCCAATCTTCGCTCACCTTTTGACCTTTTCACACTCTTTTTAACATTTTAGGCTTTGATTGGGATTTTGGAAGAACCTAAAACTGAACTCGCACTTCGTACGGCTTTGACAGTATTGACAAATTTAGGTATGGAAGAAAATCAACTTGGTAAAATGGTATCGAAATGTGGAGGAATCAGAGCTTTATTAGCCATTTGTTTAGAAGCACGTGGCACGACCGTTAGAATATCTGCACTAAGAGCTTTATCGACGGTTTGTTGCATTGGGGATACCATACGACAATTCGAACAGGTGATTAAACGACGCCATTTTTATTTTTTACATTTTTTATGAAACAATTCATTGAATGACTTTTTTTCCTTTCTTTCTTCAGGCTGGTGGTGTAGAAATAATAGCTGACATATTAGCCGATGATAAAAGATCAGAAGAGGAATTAAGCGAAGCTTCGGCGGTTATTGCTCAAATAACGGCTCCATGGATACAAGATAATCATTCAGTGAATGGTTTAAGTCAATTTTTAAACAGTCTAGTCAAATCTTTAACCCGTAAGATTTTTTTAATTAAATATTTTCAAATTGTTTTCTCCAAATATGATGAATAAAAATCATTTTACGTTTTCAGGTATAATTAACAAATACAAATCCTGCGAAACTTTGCTACTGTCATCAGCTGCTTTGGCAAATTTAACTTTTATGGAACCTAGAACGGTTTGGCCACTTTTAGAATATCAAACGGCTAAAGCGTTACTATCCGTGAGTTTTATATTTAAGTACCTGTACTGTCTTTTCCTTCTAGGTACACGTAATAAACGTTAAATTCCTTTTTTTTTTTAGGCCGTTCGACGTCAGGGTTCTGACGTTTCGATATTCATACAAGAACAAGCAGCGACAGTGATAGCAAACATGTCGTCGGTACCAGAATGTAGAAAATATTTAGCCGAACAAAGAGCGGTTGTTGCTCTTCTTTCTTTTTTAGAAATTCATCACTCACCACTTCAAAATGCACCGGAAGTGGCGGCCGCAGAAAGAGTTTTACAAAAATCCGCCATTGCTCTTTCAAGGTAGACAATTTTAAAATTTTAAAATTAAAAAAAGTTTGAATGAAGTTTTTTAATTTTTAAAAAATATTTCAGGCTTTGTAGTGATGTTGTAGTTGCACAACAGGTTGTCGAATTACAAGGTGTCAATAGATTGGTTAAATTATGTAAAGAAGAAAAAGAAAGAAATCATAGCGATGGAGTTTTAGTTGCTTGTCTCGTAAGTAAATAATTTTCCCGTAAATTTTTCAAATGACATTTTTTATTATTATTATTATTATTATTTTCTTTTTTTTTTTTCAAGGCTGCACTTCGGAAAATAGTAGCGAATTGCGGAACGAAAGCACTTGAAAATTTAAATGCTATGGAATTAGTCGAACCTAGATTATTAGATTCATTTTTATTATATTCGTCAAAACAAGAAAGTTACGTTTAAATACGTAAAAATGAAAAAAAAAAAAAAAAAAAAATTTTAAACGCGTTAAGATCTCCCTTATATGTGTATATTTTTTTTTTTTACTTGAATTTTCTATCATTTTTTTTCTCTTTTTGTACAAATTTTTCAAAAATAAAAAAAAAATTTTTAAATTTTATTATTATTAATTTATTTCTTTTTACGTGTGTAAATATTTAAAAAAAAAAATAAAATAAATGATTAAGAATGAGTCATTATTATTATTTAGAACTTTTTTATTTATTTAACATTAAACTCGTTCTTATTTATTTGACACAAAATTTCATTTAATATAAATTTTTACTCGATTTAAACTTACTTCGATATTTATTATCACTAAATAAGTACTTTAAGAAGATTATTGAAAAATAATAAACTTAATACTATACAAATAAAATTGTTTCGAATATTAAAAAAAAAAAAAAAAAATATACACAAACGAAAGCACTGAAAGTTTCATTTTCCAGCAATTTGTTTCACATGGAAGTTTAAATGTCATGGAATTATCCGAAAGAATGTTTAACATCTTTGCTGTGAAATATATCGACAGTTGTTTCATGACATTGTCTCAAATCGTAATCGATTGCTCCAATGGCAAATTTGCTTTCGGCTGGTTTAAAATAATCTAAACCTCTTCCTATTTTAATGACCCAACCGTTTCCTAATCTGTATTTGAACAAAAAAAAAAAATTCATTATTATTTTTCTTTATTCGACAAAAAAAAAAAAATTTTTTTTTTTTTAAATTAAATACATACGTTATTTGTCTGTCATGAAGCGTGGAAGAAAATTCAACATTTAGTTTTATATTGTAACTATTTTCTAAACTGTATTTAATCGAATTCAACCATGATTTTTGATCGTCAGCATTTTTAGCATCGGAACCGGTCAACAAAAAAATTTGTTTTAAATTAAAACATTTTTTAACGAGGAGTTCACAAAACTGTAAAAAGTTTCTACACTGATTATAATTTCTAATGTATGGATCTTCAACTTTCACTGTTGTCATATCGCCATCCAAAAATCTTCCTACCAATGAAGTATAACTGTGTCCTTTGGAATTATTTTCAATGGAAATTTGTTCGTGGTAAAGACCCAAATCTTTTTGTTTTTCAATGTGTTTCTTTATAAATTCTGCTCTTTCTATATATTCATGTATTTTTTGTTTTAACGCTTCTTTTTTCTTTCCAGGTTCCAAAACTAAAATAATCAAAATTTGTACATTTTGGATAATCAAATGAATGTTTAAATAACCTATTAAAGATTAAGGTCATCATTTGTTTATTTATCATGGATAACAGTTGATAGTGTGTTAGTGTTATGACATATTTGAAAACAAATTCCAAACTAAAGTATTTATATTTTAAACTTAATTTAAAAAAAAAAAAAAAATTTTAGGGAAAAAATTAAACATTAAAATTAAATTTACCCTTAACACGATCCACCAATATTTGTAAACCTTCTTGGTAACATACTAAAGCTTCTGTAAACCTGTTGGTTTTATCAAGAGTAACGGCTCTTGTTAAAATAGAACCAGCTGCAATTTCTAATTGCGTCATAATTTAAATGTGTATAATAAATTAATAAGGCAGTTAAATAATATCGAAACGATAAAGAACATTTTATTTACAATTCGGTTAATCAGACGTAAGTTGGCAACACTTTCAAATTCTAACAGTTGGCTCATTGGTTTCTTTGACTTTTTCAACACTTTTGCAAGAGTTCTTAATTTAATTTCAAATATTTTTTATTTTTTTGGTGTTTTTAAGTTTAAAATGGAATTGGAATTGAATCGTTGTGATTATGCGATCGTTGGCCTTACTAGTTATAAATGTCTCGTACTTTTACCACCATCTGCTCAAAAATTGACACAAAAAGTTTGTGATTTTTTTCTTTTTTTTCCGTTGCCATCGATACTACACTAACACAAATTTTTTTCTACCATGGTATAATTTTTTTTTTTTTTTTTTCTAGGTAGTGGTGGCTGATCAAGATGGTGTTTTAAGTATTTTCTCGATAAAAAAGGGGGAAACTGAAACGGTTTTTAAAACGTCTCCCGGTCCGAAAATAACGAGGGTAGCTTTGGGTGGTACCGTTAATACTCCTCAGGATAAAATATTTTTTTCTTGTGATAGCGAAGTTAAAGGTTTCACCAAGAAAGGAAAACAGTTTCTTGAATTTGAGACGAACCTAACCGAATTAGTTAAAACAATGTAAGATAATTATTATTATTATTATTATGATTGAGAATTCTAAAATGAATGTAAAAAAATTTTTTTTTAGGTGCGTAATCGATAACAATTTATTTGTAACTGGTCAACATTGTTTGTATCATTATTTAGATCTTAAAGATGTAAATAGTTTTATTTGCAATGAAGTTATTATCGATTTAATTGTTCTTTCTACAAAAGTGAGTTCATTTATGTATATTTCAAAACTTTTACTTTATGCATTTTAATAATGTATTTCATTTATTTCTAGAAAAATGTTTTAATGCCTATTCTGGCATGCAGTGATAGAGTAATAAGAGTTTTAGAAGAATCAAACGTATTATATTCAGTACCTATAGCGAGTACTCCAACTGTCCTTCATAAATTTTACAAAAGTAAAAACGATGAAGAACAAATAATTTATGGAACAGAAGATGGCGGCGTTGGACTTTTACTAATTGGCAGGTGATATGTTTATCTATTAGTATTTCTCTTGTATGTATAAAGTATTTTTAAAATGGGTATTTATTTTTTCTAGAGATCTTAAAAATTTTTGGTTACTTGAGCCAAACAATCAAAAAGGTCAAGTCACATGTTTAGATGTTTATGATTTGACTAATGATGGATATTTCGAACTAATTGTTGGAAGAGATGATGGATTTGTTGAAGTTTATAAACTAAGTTCTGATAATGAACAACCAAAATTAATCTTTTCCTACGTAAATATAAATCATTATTATTATTATAATTTATGTTTAATGCTTATTTATTGACGACTTAAATAATTGTTTTAGACATGCAATGAAACCGTTACTGCTTTAGTTTGTGGAAAATTAAAAAATAATGAAGTACCTGAAATTGTTGTTTCTACATACTCAGGTAATTTATTTTAAATGTTAATACGTCGATAATTAAAAAACGACATTAGACTTTTACAATAAAATAACGTTTCCTCGAATTGGTTAAAGTAACTTTATTAATTACATCAAGAGTGACATTAATTAGTAGGAAAAAAAATCATTGATTTCATGTCTTTCAAAAGGATGGATATTTGGTCTTTCTACGGATTCAGGTTCAAAAGACCTTACTTTAAGTGTTGATTCAAATAATTTAAAGGTTTTACCAGAAGTAAAGTTAAAAATTAACAAACTGAGGTACAATTTAATAAATTTCAATTTAAAGTTTTTGTCAATTCAATTTAGAATTTCAAATCATGTTTTTGATCAAGTTTTTTACAATTTAATTCTACTATTATTATTTTCAGAGCGGAAATAGACGAATTAGAAGAAAAAATAAATGCGGAAAGAGATAAATATCAATTGGCAGCTGAAAATAATGAAAATGCTTTATCAACATTGCCTTCCGTTGCAATTAATGATAAGGTTTTTAACTATTGAAATATTTTTTCTCTTTATTCTACAGTAAAAAACAAAATGCTCATCAATTTTGACATTTTCTTTTAGTGGTGTTTAAGAAGAGAGGATGCTTCTTACACGTTAAGCATAGAAGTTCAAACATCCATTGATAATGTGCTCGTTCAAAGCGACGTACCTTTAGACTTATTGGATATAGAAAAAAATTCAGCTGTTGTCAGTTTCAGCGATTGCAGTCCATCGGTATAAAATAAAATAATTAATTCGTTTAATTTTAAAATTACTTTTCAAGTGACCAGAGTCATTATTAAATTTTTTAGGATGGAAACTTTTTATTGGCAACTTACCGTTGTCAAGTTAACACGACTCGTTTGGATTTAAAAATCCGTACGATAGAAGGACAGTATGGAACTTTACTAACGTACGTAACACCGAACGTTCAACCCAAATGTTGTCAGCTTCGCAGTTACAAAATCAAACCGCTTTCCCTGCATTCACGAATACACGCCATAGACGCTAAAAGACCCTATAATCGTTTAGCATTTAAAGGTGGATTTAGTTTTGCCGAAATTCATGCTTGGATTGAATTTTGTTTGCCTGAAGTTCCTTATAAAACTCCCCCCGAAGATACGGTGGTTTTATGTTTCACTTCGACCTTCTTGGGTACCATGCTACAATGTACATACTCGTACGTACTACTCATTTGTAATTTAATAAAAGTTACAAATGTTACCATACTCATTAATAAATATTTCTTCGAACAGAAAAGGAGAAGCAGAATTTAAATCGGACAATATCTCAACGATTTCTATTTTAAAGGATGTCATTTCGAAAGTTGCAAGCAGGAATGATAAAAAAAAACGTAATCTTGATATCACGTGGGGTAAGTTTAAATTTTTTCAGAGCAGAAAATTTCCAAGTTTTATTTTAAATAAAGATCATTAAAACAACATGGTAAACATCATAATAGAATTTAAATTTTTTTAGAAATAAATGAAGAAAGTATTAAACATACTCTAGATTTGATTCGTCCTAAATTAGAGCATCAACTTTCTTTGGTGAATAAAATGAAAATATTAGAATCAATGTCGGAATTAGATTTAAATCCAATTAAATCGGGAGAAATATTATTAACGGATGAATTTACAGAAATAATAAATAAAGAAAAAGAAATTATTAACGAATATAAAATGCAACCGGCATATTTAGACAGATTATACGGTATGGTTACTGACTTATTCATTGATAAAAACAAATTTAAAGGGATTAATGTTAAAAATAAAATTCCGACACTTTTGGAAATTTTAGATAATGATAATTATTCATATGAAAAACTTTACGATTTTTTTTATCAGTAAATAACTCGAATTCAATGTGACAATCAAATAAAATTTTTTAAAAAAAATCACTTTTAATTATACAGGTTAATCTATTTAAAACGGGTTAATGATATTTGCACACTCTAAAAGATCTATATTATATATATAATTTAATTAAATTATTAATTTAAAAAAATAATAATAATTATTATTTTTTTTCTAATATAATACACCAGTTTCCTTGATCGTAATAATAATTTAAAATATTAACATTTTCTAATTTAAGGCAAACATTTTTCAATTCATCATCTTCGTAAACGTGATAAAATCTTAAATAAACGGGAGCTTGAGAAGGATCAATATTATTATTATTATTATTATTATTCAACTTTAATTTCCACGGGACTAACATATCGTTGTATGCGAATGCAGTGCGATTATTATGAACGGGCAAAACAAGGTCTTGTTGTGATTTATTCAATGGGATTATTTCCAGTTTGCAATCATCTTCGGGTGCGAGTATTTTTCTCAAATCGTTTTGTTTCAAATAGTATGATTTTTCACCTTTTAATTCTTGATTTTTTGCCCATACGTAAATCAACGCTTTTCCTTTACTTTTTAAAATACGAATCATTTCTTTTATAGCTTTTTCTCTTCTCTCCTGACAAAAAAAAGAAAACAAATGAGTATATATGGAAGAAAAAGGACATAAAAATAACAGGATAGGGTTTTTACCTCTGTTGTTAAATGATGAATAACTGCAATACAAATACATCCATCAGCAATATCATCTCTTAAGGGAATGTTCAAACAATTACAAGAAAAACATTCGAATCCTCTTTCTTTGCATACTTTCATAAGTCCACCATTTGAATCGCATCCAATTTCAAATCTATTCGATTGTTTTGTGAAATATTTACCATTTCCACAACCGACATCTACAAGTATGGAACCTGATGGAAATGAATTGACAAATTCAAAAACGTTTGGCCACGGTTTGTATCTTGTTTCACTAAAATGTGATGCTATTTTATCATATACCTAAAAAATAATTTAATTTTTAATTTTATGTGAAGGTGCTTTGAGAAAAAAAAAAAAGAAAAGAATTACTTGGTGAACGAAATTTTTTTCTATTTCCGATGCATCTTCTTTTCTAAGATTAATATTTTTAATTTCAGAAATAACATTGGGAAAATTTTTAAGTTTTTCAATGGCAGTGTCACAAAATTTAGGATATTTGCAACTACAACATCCCCTTCTTGTTTTTCTAAACGTCAACGAAGTTCTTCTCTCTCTATTCTGAACGGTAAGTGAACCATCTTTATTAGGAATTAAATCCGATTTTCTAGGTGTGATTCCATGTACCCAATTGTACCTAAAAAGAAAATTTTTCCCTTTAATTTTTCTTTAAATGGAGTACAAAGTAGGAAAAATTTAATTTAAAAAAAATTAACCTGGATTCACCGAGCATTAAACATAAACTTCTTCTCGGTAAAAGGACGCTAAATGTCAAATCTTTATCATTTTTAAATTCCATAACGACAGATGATTCCAGGCTTAAAGAAAGGATTCCATCTTCGAAGGCACTATGAGTATCAACATGAGGAGGAATTCCCTGTCCAGGTTCATAACAATTTACAGTCAATTGATCCGGTGTAAAATCAAAATCGCTTTCAAAATTATCTGAATATTTTTTTAATCTATCCCACAAATAATTAAGCTTGGATGGAATTTTTTTAATGGGTTCATTTAAATTTACATTATTGCTACCATATTTAAATTCATATCCATAATGTTTTACTTTTCTGTGTTTAAGCTCTGAAGAATATTCTTCTCCAGAATCATTAAATTTGAGTAATTTTAAAATTTCCGTTTCTTCTTCTTCCGATATAAAATCTTCTAGTAGTACAAGGCCTGGAGGTTTTTGAAAAATTTTAGCCTGATTAAGCAGAGATATATTTATACTTTCAACATAACCTAAAAATATGGGACCCTTAATAACAGGCCATATTATTTTATCATTTAAAAGATTAAAAGCTTTCTCGGAATTTTTTTTATTTTCAAATATGATAAACGAATATGATTTTCCAGGGACCATGACAATTTTTTTAAAATTTTCAAATTTATGAAAAACGTTCCAAACCATTTCATATGTTATTCCGTTACATAGTCCACCATTACAAATAACTATAATCTACAAAAAAAAAAAAAAAAAGAAGTCAATATATTTAATAATTTTAATGTAACCAGATTTGTTAATATGTCTAATACCTCAGTAGAAGAATCCTTCATGACAATTCCAAAATCTCTAGCGAGAATATTAGTATATTTTTTTTTTAAACGATTTTTTTTATTTATGAGATAACTCATTTTTGAAAAATTCTTTTTTTAAGTTGGAAAAAAAAGACAAAAAGTGATTAGTTGTATTAAATAAGAGTGGAATTTAAAATTTCCACATGATGTTAAATAATTATTGATTATATACTCTATGGAAAATTGTACGTATAATTTTTAAAAAAAAATACGTTGAATCCGCTTAAAGTAACTTGCGCATTATTCAAAGATGTACGGTTCATGGTAAATTATTATTTTCAAAAATAGGTTTTTATGTTTATTACACTAAAAAAAATTTTTTTTTTTTCTAAAAGTTTTTATAATTCATTAAAAATGTTCAAATCATGATTAGATGATATTAAATTATAAGTTAAAATAATAATTTTTCAAAGGTGAGAAAAATTCATTTATGTATTTAAAAAAATATATATATATATATATATACTTTGTATTATATATGCGTTTTAATAGCGCCAAAATAATTACTCATGATATTACTAAATGTCATAAATAAAATTGAATTTTTTAAAATTTTCTCTTCTCGATCAATTTGATTTAATTATTTATTTTAATCGATACGATTACTTATAATTAATTTTTCAAATTAGAAAAACTAAAACGAAAAGAAAAATATATAATTTCGATCAATTTTTAATAAAAAATTATTATTATTATTATTATTATTTTATATTTTTATATCATGTACAATATTTTTATAATGTAAAACAATATTTATACAAACTATTTTTTTTTGAAACTTTTATATTTTCCCAGTCATTAAATATTTTAGTTTTTTTTTTTTTTCATATGACCCAAATTTATAAATGTCAACATCTTTTTCACATAATGTCCCATAATTCAACGTTCTTTTGACTTTTCATTATTGTTTTTTTTAATAATTTCTTCTTTTATATAAACCTACTTCCTTTTTTCCCTTTTCTTTCCTCCAGCGAGTACCTATTCGTATGAAAACAATTGATTTTTCTTCGATTGTATTAAAAATCAGGAATCAATATTTTACATATTTAAATTTATCATTTGATATTTTAACAGTTATGAAAGGAGATACTGTCAGTAAACTTCCTCGTGAAGGAATCGATGATCAATGTGTATATTTAAAATTCAGTTTGAGAAAATTATGTCTTGTTACGGTTATTTTACCAGTATCATCATTGATAATATGTTTTGTAACTGCGAATATATTTCAAAAGGATGATATTCACGAGACTCATTGTAAGGTAAAATACAAATATATATTGATTTTATTTCAAGCTTTTTTTTTTTTTTTCTTCGTTCAATGCAATTATTATTCTTTTTCAAATAGTACATGCTACTAGCACATTATCCTATAATTAGTTTTTTTTTTCTATTCGAGCACTTTCATTAAATAAATTATTATTATTTTTTTTCTTAGTGTTATGTGTTATTTTATTTCAGATATGAATTATTTATCTTAGGTTAAACTATTAACCTGACCTGAGATATTCCTGTTTGATATTCCTTAGGCTTTTTAAGGTAATTATTATTACTTTTTTTGTTTTTGTAACTATCGTAGAATCATATTTTTGTTCATACCTTTGTTTATATGTATGTCGATAACTATTATCTCTTTAACAAGCATTACATTTTGTCTTACAAATACTTTTACATAAAATTATGTATGTTGAACACCATTATTATTATTATTATTCGATACAAATTTAATTTCAGAAAGTTTATGATTAACCAATCAAGAAAAAAAATTAAATTAATTAAAATCATTTTTTCATTTATTTAAATAATAATAATTTGACGAGGGAAATAACGGTCGAAAATAATTAACGTTTATTTACTTTATGACTTATAATTATGAAAGAAAACTTTTTTTATTTGTAATAATAATAAGAAAAACTTTTCATACGGGCTCCCTAAAAAACGAAGGGGGAAAAAAAAATTTTACATGTATAATAATTTTCTATAACGTATACGTAATAATTTCCCCCCCCCGCCTCCCACCCACACCCCCACATTATAATAAAACACGAGAAACTTTTAAAAAAAACCGTATTCACTATAATAATAATAATAATAATAATAATAATAATTTACATACGGGGAAAGAGTAATATTATCATATTACGTGACCTTGATAAAATCAGGGAAAGGATAAACGGGAAAGAAAAGGAAGTTTAAAAAAAAAAAAAGGATGCCAGGAATTTTGTATAACGTATTGTTTAGGGAATATAAATTTAAAAAAAAAAAAAAAATTCAGGTCGTCGCAATAGTGTTTACTAAAACAGTTATAATTTTCTCCATGTTTTAATTTATTTAAAAAAAAAAAACATTTATATTTAATATATATACAATACGCATAAAATAATTTGATTAGTAAGAAAAATAATAATGATAATAATAATAATAATAAAGGTAATTTTTGTTTTTTTTTTAAACGTGTAATTATGGTAGTCATAAACGGTTTAAATTTTTTTTTTTTTTAATTTTCAAATTACATAAGAGCATGCATGCAAAGTTAATTTATGTGATAAAAGCAGAGATTTTTTTTTTTTTTTTTTTTCAAATGAAATTTAATAAACCGTTGATAAATATTTTTTAACGATAGGCTAAATATTATTTAAAATAAAAGTAAAAAAAAAATTTGTTTTGGTTCGTGACGTCACGGGATTCGATAGTATTTACATTATTAAGGAAGTCGATATCGTTCGATGATATGATAGGGATACGATATGAGACATGGAGAAAAAAAAAAAAAGAAAAATTCGAATGATGAAAAAAACCGCAAAAAGAAAAAAGTTAAAAGAAAAATTAAATCGATATAATTTTACCTGAAATTACACGTTGCGGGGTTGGGTAGGGGTAGGTAGGGGAGAGGAGAGGGTGAGGGGGGGGGGTAAAAACTTATTTTTCAATTGCATTTAAATTATTTTCTGCCACAAATTACTTTTTTTTTCTTTTTTCCTTTTTCTTCCTTCCTTTTTCCTTCTTTATTTCTTTTTATTTCCCATTCTTTTCCCTTTTTCCTTTTTCTTTCCTTTTTTCCTTTTATATATATATATATATTTTCTTTTTTTTTTTTTTCGTTCTCCTCCACACCTCAAAGTCATTTCCTATTTCTGTGACTTGCAGTTTCAACCGTTGAATATATATATATATATACACCACCTTTCGTGCAGCTTTTAAATTTTAACCGTAAGAAAAATAATTTTACCAATGGATAGTGAGTGGGTTGAAGGGGTTTTCTTACGTTATCGTTACTTTTCGTGTCAATAATTATAATACACGACGACTAATTTAAAAGCCAACGTAAAAAAAAAAAAAAACTTTCTTCAATTTTTTTCTTTTTTTTTTCTCTCTCTCTCTCTCAATGAGGAATAGAAATTAATTTTATGGAAATCGATGAAGGGTGAAAAATTTCTTTAAAAAAAAAACAAAAAAAAACAAAAAAAAAAGGGAAGAAAAAAGGGAAGGAAAAACAAAAAACAGAAAAAAGAAAAGAAATCGGAACGGTTATTATTACTATTATTATTATTACTATTATTATTATTATTTCTATTATTATTATTATTTTTAAATATTTAATTACGTTTAATGATATTTTTTTTTTAATTAAAATTTCAATGGGAGCCTAATTTTTTTTTTTTTTCATTTTTTTTTCTAGTTCAAAATAAACTTTGATCTAATATTACTATCATTATTATTATTATTATTATTATTATTATTATTATTATTATTATTATTATTACGAATTTCCACGTCATTCATTTCGTTTTTAAAAAATTTATTTACTCTATGCATTTATTTATTTATTTATTTAAATAATAATTTTGAGTTATCGTTATTATTATTTGGAAAAATTTTATTAATTTTTTTTTTTCCGGTTTTTAAAAAATTGGTAGTTTTTTTTTGGCGGGAAGGGGGAGAAGGGGGAGGGTAGTATTAAACGTGACTGTTATTATCATTATCATTATTATTAGTTAAACTATGATAATTGATAGTCGTCGTGGGGCGTTTCCCATCCACTGTTGATGTTATATGTCACATAAGGTTTTGAATTTTCTTTTCTTTCCTCTCTGTCTCTCTCTCTCTCTCTTTCTCTCTCTGTTTCAGTTGTTTGAAAGGTTAAAATGAAAACTGACGTGGAAATTCGGTCGACTAAAAAACTAAAAAACTAAAAAAATAGTTGAAAAAGTTTAAATGATGTAACTAATTTTTTTTTTTCGTTTGTTCTGGAAAAGGGGGGGAGGGGAGAAGGTTTAAAAAAAAAAATTTGGTGAATTGAGTTTTGTGTGTGTGTGTGTGCGTGCGTGTAATTTTCGGAAAATTTTTTTTTTTGCTACCGTAAGTGATCGAGTTTAAATTTTAAAAAAAAAGTTTTTATTGTTTAACTTATAGGAAAATTTTTTTTTTTTTCTCGTTCGCAAATGTTTAGAATTTTCCAAAAAGAAAAATTCATCGATTTATCATTTTCCACGTTGATGATATTTTATTATTATTATTATTATTTATTTATTTATTTATTTTTTGTTTATAAATGAAAAAAAAAAGAGAAAAATTTCGTGACTTTTTTTTTTTCGAAAAAGGGGGTGGAAGGGAGGGGGTTAACAAATGTTTTTTTTTTTTATTGTGCGGTAAATCTTTTATATTTAATCTTATTATCATCATCATCATCATCATCATCATTATTATTTTTCTTCTTCTTTTGAAAGCAAGTCGTCGTTTTTTTTTATTGAGTTTAAACAATCGATATAATGATTGAATTTTTTTTTGATGTTTGTTGTTTGTTGTTGTTTGAAATTGACCTTTGCTTAAAAGAAAAATTTTTAAAAAGGAAAAGGTCATTTAATTTTTCCTTTCGTTTTTGTTTTTCCGCCGTTTTTCACATACGGAAGCCGTTGGAAAATGATGATGATGATGATGATTTTGTTTTCCTCTTTTTTTTTTTAAATCGTATTTCAAGTGGTTTTTCCCCTCCCTTCTCCCCCCCCCTCCGGGGGTAACGTAAAGAAAAATCTCGAAATCTTATTTGATAAAAGGTATAAATTATTATCAAACCTTTCCGAGTTTTAAAATGGAAAAGGTTGAAAGGTTTAAAGGTCGTTAAATCGTTAGAATTTTGCTTTAAATTTTTTTTAACTTTTTTTTTTTTTTACTTTTCTTTTTCGTTAACACGCAAAAATGAATTTATAAAAGGGAAAAAGTTGTTAAATTGGAACGGGTATCTCTCCCCTCCCTCTCCCTACCCCCTCGTCCCTCCCCAGGAAAATCGACCGACTCCTTTTTTTCTCTCTCTCCCTCTCTTTCTCTTTCCACGAGAATTAAAAAAGAAAGAAAAAAAAATTAACATTAAAGAAAACAAATCAAATTTTTTTTTTTTAAAGGAAGTAGAAAGTCTGTGGTGGAAAATAAAAAAAAATAATAATAATAATAATAATTTAAATTTTCTTTCTCTCTTTCTCTCTCTCTCTCTCTCTCTCTCTCGTGGTCATAATAAATGTTTGCGAGTCACGAAAATTGGCAAGCGCCGCCCTCGATCGGTCCCTATTTTGTATATTTTCCATTATTATTATCATCATCATTATTATTTATCAAAAATAAAATATAAAAAAGTATAAAGAAAAAAAATTTTTTTTATGAGTAGCCAGTGGAAACTCGCGTGGGGGTAGGGGGAGGAGGGAAGGGGGGCCGGGATAAAATCATTTGAATTTTTTTTTAAGTTTTTATTTTATTCACTATTATTATCATTATTATCATTTTCACATTGTAAATCTCAAAATGTTAAATTTCATCATTCATCGATGAAGAAAAAACAAAAAAATTTTCTTTTAACTTTTCCTTATCCAGGGAAAGGGAGGAGGCGAGGGGGGGGGTCAAAAAAAAAAAAAACTTTTCGTGTTTGAAAAGGTAAAATTTCAACCGAGTTTATTTATCGATTTATCGATTAAATAAAAAAAAAAAAATAAGAAAAACTTATTTTGCGGAAAAAAATAAAAATAAAATAAAAATTTCGTGCAAGAAGTTTTCCAATAATAATAATAATAATAATAATATTTATGTTTTTAAATAAGGATTTATTATTATTATTATTATTATTAAATAAACTCATCGCGGATTTCATCGTTCGAAAATTTTTCTGTTTTTTTTTTTTTTTTTTTTTCTACATGTAAATTTTATACGATTTCGATTATTTATATTTATTAATAAATTGATGATAGTATTATTATTATTATCATTAATATTATTATTATTATTTGAGACGCTTTTAATGGATTCGACAAAAAACGTTTTTTTTTGTGAATGACTCAATTTCATTTTTTTTAGCCATTTTTAATTTTTTTTATGTAATCATTATCGATATCATCGTCGTCGTCGTCGTCGTTATTATTGTTATTATTATTATTATTATTATTATTATTATTATTATTATTATTATTATTATTATTATTATTATATTATTATTATTATTATTATTATTATTATTATTAAATTTACAAATTATTTTATTTAAATAGATTGTAATAGAGGCAGGCTATCGATCGAACGAACGAATGAATAAAAAAAAAACATTAATAATATTATTATTATTATTATTTAGAGAAACTTATTATGTTTTTCGTATATTTTGGGTAGCAACAGAAAAATATCGTTGGCAACAAAATAATGATAATTAATATGACGTCAAAATGTTTTGATATATGAGATTTAAATGACTTTTTTTTTTCACCCCCCCCTCCCCTTCCATCCCCTCCGAAGGGGGTAATTTTTGAATAATTCATTTCGTTTTGTTATTATTATTATTGTTATTATCATTCAACATTTACATTCGGTTTTGATTAAATTTACTTAATAAACAATTTTTTTCTTTTTTTTTTTTTTTTTTTGTCGTTTTAAGCGAAAAAATTTAATTTTTCAAAAAAAAAAAAAAAAAA